AATGCTTTCATCTGGTCTTGCAAACTTCAGGACTTTTATGTTACATGTTCCTACATTTTAAAGTATCAATATATTGATAATAACAGTACCTATAAAAAATGCACAGGTTCAAATTACCTACATTCATTTAATTCATATTTTCAGTTTTATTACATGATTTCAATGTAATCCTAAATACATAACTGCAAAGTTGTTAGCTTCAAGTGATTTGCATATGAAACTATAAATTCAATTGTTCTAATAACATTACATATAAAACATTTTCAGTGAAACCTTTAGTTGGACAATGAAAAGTCAGGAAAAGTAATGTTTTGTCAGTCTTTATCCACCTACCAGGTACTGAATGAAAAACCATGAAAATGAAATACCATTTGTAAGTCCCAGAAAAAGAGCGAGAGAATGAATGAAGAACTGCCAATAGTCACTACCAACATCTATGAATCTATCTGACTGTATGATCTAATGGTATTAACACATCGTCTGGTGACTTTGTTACATTTCATCTATCAGTGGTGTCTTTCGGATCACAATGAGTTAAAACAAACACCACTAATGCTGATAGCAACCTGCAGTGATAAGTTTGGTTCCAAAATATCAAAGCCTGTCAAAAACCTGAACCTGGAGTGAACAAGCCATGCATGGCACAGTCCCCGTTAGTTATCAAATTTAAGATATATAGTCAAACAAGTACTTGTCCATATTGAGAGATATTGCTCTGGAACAGTATTCAAAATCAGCCATTTTGAATACATGTATATATATAACATGATGTATAACGAATATATAAAATTTAAATATAATCAGTCCAATCATTAAAACAAAATGGCCGCCAGTCAGCCATTTTGAATGCAATCTGAAAAATAAAAAGACGAGCATCAGGAACCCGTAATGTCTAATGTATGTACCAAGTTTGATTGAAATCCACCCATAAATGCTTGACATTTGATGATTTTTTAGCACAAAAATGACCACCATTCGGCCATTTTGAATAGGATAGTCAAACCAATATATCTGTTTATCTATGACATGATGTACTAGTATAATGAATATTTAAAATTTGAAAATATTATCAGTCAAATCAAGTCGGAGATATGGGTCTAGAAGCCCATTCATTAAAACAAAATGGCCGCCAGACAGCCATTTTGAATCTGATCTGAAAAATAAATGATGTGCATCAGGAACCTGTAATGCCTAATATATGTACCAAGTTTGAACGAAATCCATCCATAAATTCCAGAAATGCTTGATATTTGATGATTGTTTAGCACAAAAAAGGCCACCATTTGGTCATTTTGAATAGGATCGTCAAACCAATATATCTGTCTATCTATGACATGATGTATAATGAATATTTAAAATTTGAACATAATCAGTGAAAGCAAGTCAGAGATATGGCACGAGAACCACATTCATTAATACAAAATAGCCACCAGTCGGCCATTTTGAATCTTATTGAAAAACAAAATTATTTGCATCAAGGTCCCATAATGTCTAATGTATATACCAAGTTTGAACAAAATCCATCTGTAAACAGCCGAGAAATGCTTGATTTTGATGATATTTAGCACAAAAATGGTCGCCATTCGGCCATCTTGAATCAGATCGTGAAACATGTATAATATCATGTATGATGTATGTGTGAAGTTTGATTGTGATTGGTCCAGGCATTTCTAAGATACAGGTCCGGACGCACGCACGCACACACGCACGCACACACAGACACACGGAGGTCAAAACATAAGTCCCCGTCTTCAAACTGCGTCTGAACGGGGACTAAAAGGAGGTGGTGAAAAAGATTTCACAGCAAATAGAAATAGAAAAGCAATAACACTAGTCCACATCATGTAATAGCAAAACATAGTGCAACTATAACAACCTTGCCCATTGAGAATCTGGATTAATTAACAAATGATGGATGGATGTGAAGAAACGATGCATGATCTTTTCTTTGCATGGCAAAAGTGAGTATAAATGTCCTGAAACAATGAAAAATGAACAACTTGCAAAAAAAATACTGGCTAAAATTTAGGTGGAAACCATTCTGTGCAAAAATGAGCAAAAAATATTAGGTCATCAGAATTATGTAAATGAATGAATATTTATGTTGTTCAAATAATACATGTACTGTGTTAATCTCAAAGTTTCTTACAGAATAATACAACATGAATTGTATAAAAGTTCCTAAAATTAGCACAGAAACAAATCGAAACAAAATTTTCTGAAGAAATACTGTCCAACTTGTTCCTCAATAAATACTACCCAGTCCATATACTGTATAAATCTCATTGTCCTTTATCACATAAATTGTATAATGTAGATGTTTTTTTTTTGCATCCCTATCATGGAAATTGTGAATTTACAGTGTATATGAACAATGGTCAAATGACCTGTAGAAATTCTGCATGATTCATGTACATATCATAGTAAACTAAATATAGCATTCACATGCTTAGCTCACTAGTAGTTAGTAGCTCATTCACAAAGCTTGTCAATCCAAAAATCGTTGGTTGAAATCCAGGGTGTTGCTGCTTAAAAAATGTACTATTTTTAATTAATGAGGGAAACGTTGTGCTCTTCATTTGAGTCAAATGAGAAAAACCTAGTTCTGAAAAACAGTCCTCTCCTAGTAAATTGGTACTGTTGAGAACAAAGAAACTAGTAAACAGGTACTGTTTGGAACAAAGGAAACATACTTTACTAGTAAGCAGGCATTGTTAAGAACAAAGAAACTAGTCAATGAGTACTGTTTGGAACTATTTTCCCAGTAAACAGGCATTGTTGAGAAACAAGTAAACAGGTATTGTTTTGAACTAAGAAATAGTATATTCCTAGTAAATGCCAAAATAAAACAATCCGCTATCGAATGATTAGATCAATATCGATGAGCTAAAAAGTAGTATGTAATTGAGAGCATATTACGGTACTAACATCTGGTTCTCAATATCAGCAATATAAATATCTTCATTCTCTTCACATATTTCTATGTTTAACAAATGTTTTATTTTAGCCAATATCTTGATAATTGCACTTCCTAGTTACATTTCATAGCAACTGATAAGATTCACAAATTTGAAGATGGCCAGATAAAAATTGTGAGTTATTGTAACCACAAGAAGATCTAGTAAAATTTCACAAATATCTTGAAAAATATACATAGACATATACCAAGACCGAACTTGGCCAAGATTCCAAACTGGTTAATATAAGTTTAGATATGAACTGTTTATGCTACCACTGTTTATGCAACCACAAGAAAAAAAGTTGTATGATGGCGTCTATGGCAACAGCAACAACAACAACAGACAGACTGACTGACAGTTTCCCCTCATATAGCTTTTTAATTACCTACTATGATACAAACAAGGTAACAAAATGAGTCGGCCATTATGAAACAGTACATGAATCAAATGCATGTCAAGATGTGTGACATAATGTATAACCTACAGGCAGTCAGTCAAGGTATGTGAGAGATAAGGCTTCAAAAACAAAATGGCCACCAGCCAACCATTTTACATTCAATATCAAAAAACAAAATGTTCAATGTTCATTCATATTCAATGTATATACCAAGTTTGAATGATATCTGTCCACCCATGATCAAAATCCACTTTCAAAACAGTAGAAATGCTTCAATGCATTTTAACTTTAAAATAGCCACCATTCGACCATCTTGAATTGGATTGTGAATGTATGCATATATCTATGAAGTTCAAATGTAAACTGGTTCAGGCATATCTAAGATACAGGTGCGAACACACACTCAGACTCAGAGGTGAACCAATAAGTCGCTGTCTCTTTAGGTCATAGGGGTTATGTAATACCAGTAACTGATGAAGATGAAAATTCTATCAAGAATCTATAAATATTTAACCTTTCCACTGCCACTGCTAAATTTTGTAACCTTCCATAAAATATATCCATTCAAAATTTGCTTGTTTTCATAAAAAATTTTGATAATAATTGGAGAACCTTGACCAAAAGCTGTAAACAAAGACATATTCTGTTTTTTGGGTTCAAAATGAACGATTACTTTGAAGAAAATCACAGAAAACTTACAATAATGTCATCAAAATTTTGTAGGAAATTGACATGGCTGTGCAATGAGTTAATACATATCATTTCTGATACTAAAGTCCTACATAAAGTTTATTGAAGTGTCATGATTATATCAAACTGAGGACCATATCAGCATAAAACACAAAGATACCTTTGGTGATTACTGGATGGTACCAGTAGGCTACATTAACAAATGTATGTATAAAAATACAGAAGAGATTATTTACAGCTATGTGAATCAGAATAACTACACAGCATACATCAGAATGAGAAAATTGTAATCAGGGATGATAATGTTTGGCAAACTAGAATTTGGATTTAGAGTGACAAAAAGGACTGTTCATAAAAGAAAATCTTATTACTACAGAATAAATTAGATACATAATTTACATCAATTAATTAGAGCTGTTATACCCATGATGAATGTTGATATAGTACAACTCTGCTACACGAAAGAAGTAAATGTATAATTGGATTAAAATAGGAATCAGTTTTTTTTATTTTAATTTAATTTTTTTTTATTAAATGTCAACATTTTGTTGATTATTAATTTTCCTTATCAATGTTTATTTTTTTGTTTTATTTGCCGTTATTCACTTTTTCATATGTAGCAGCTAAAACAAAGACAGACATAGATGAACAAAACTAATAATCAAATTAAAAAAAAAAATTACAACATCATATTTTAATCACACACATACCTTTTCTACATGCCATACAAATGAAAATTAATTTTATCGACGTGACTGAGAAATAGCAATACATGTAAGCATTCATCAAAAATATAACTTTTTCATATGAAGAGGGTCTGTTAAATTTGGCAAAGCACAAGAAATGCATCTCCAGCCAGAATAGAAGAATGACTACATAAATATACTAAAAAAAATATTGCACATACGCAAACATGTTTTGGTCGTAATAAAAGCTAATACCGAAAATAAAATCAATTTAAAATGCAAATGAAGGCGACAAAACAAAGTATCTCCCCTTCCGAAATAAAGTACTTTTGGTGGTATCTATTTTGTACATGGTTGTCTTGATTCAACCAGTTTCTGGGTGAAATTTTTTTAATAAGTTACATTATCTTTGTATCAAATAATTATTTTTTTAATTTTGTATTATGGAGGACTTAAATGGAGTATGAAACTTTTTTGTTATGATGATGTTTTCTTTTACTACAAATGGTCTTCTTTCTAATAATGCTGCTTTTTGCCATCTAAAGGTCCATAGAATGTATGTAGGTGATTTCGATTTGAGGCACAGGTAGAGTAAAAACTACCACATTATGATAAGACCTTTCAATAAACTGAATTTAATAGTGAATCATTAAATATCTGACCAAAGTATCGCTTTTTTCGTCCTATCACAACTTATCACCATAGCACCACTTGGTTGCCAAGCAACTGCCACTACAGAGGAACTACAAATTAAAAATAAATGAAAAAATAAATATCAGTGTAAATATTGATTCATTATTATTTTTTTCAATACGTAAGATACAAAGTAAAAACTGGGATGGTTTCATACGTACTGGTGTTCTTTCATTAGCCTGGTTTCAAGTTTACCAGTTGCTGTATTCCATATAAACACAGACCCATCCTGTGATCCAGCTAATGTATACTGACCATCTGGACTGAAAACAGCTCGGCTATAATCGTTTCCAACATGAAACCCATCAGCACTGCATTCAAAGAAATGAAACAATGAATACTTCAAATAATTTGAATTGCATGGACAGACACGGCTCAAAGCACTCATTTCGTGCTATACAGAAATAGATATTTGATATGATTTCCATGTTTATAAGCAAATGACAGTTTTCCGTTCTTTGCAATATAAATGTTGTGTGACAAAAGTGAATTAATGTACATGTATATGACATTAAAAGAAGTCAACATTATTAAAATTAACAGCTATTTCGAAAAAAAGAATCAAGCAGTAACACATCAAAACGTTAGTTAAGGATGCTGTACACCTTTTTTTGCTTTGAAACCCAAAATTCAACTTTTTTGTATATTTCAATGCTGGACTACAAGGAGCAAACACTCAGTAGGAAAAAAAGTCAATTGGATGTTTTTATAGGGTGTAAAAATCAATTTTTGTTAATTAAAAACAAAAGCACATGTCATTGTTTTGAAAGCTATGTTTTAATTAACCAGCCAAAGACATAATAGACAGATAATTTGCATAATAGTCACCACCCATAGCAAATATAAACAGTCTCTTGTATTCAGTACAAGCTCAGACTAGTATTATGGAATACTTTATTTTTGCTGGAATTAATTTTCGCTGAAAAGGCATTTTAAGCGTTTTATATGGAATTTATTTTCACTGATTTTTGATGAGTTTAATGTGAAATATATGAAAAAAAAGTATATTCGCTGGATTTTATTTTCACGGAATAATCCTTCAGCGAAAATAGCGAAAATAAATTGCAAGCGAAAATAAAGTATTCTACAGTAATACAAGTATTAGTAGTCCGAGGTACAAGTTACACGCATTCCATTTACGATCGTCCACAAATTTAATTTCGTTGAATTTTCTCGTTCTTCAAGCAGTCGACTATGAAACCGTCTTGGTCTTGGGGTCGACTATGACAGTGACGAAAGAAAACGAATGCAAGGAAATTTGGAGAAGAACGTCGACAGTATGTAAAGCGATTATTATGAAAATTTAATCATGGAAGGTACCTTCCACGATTTAATTGATCAGACCATGGAGGTATAAACAGAAGGTAGAAAATTTGAGCACATGGCAGACTTAGTTTTCGTGACCAAATTACGTGTCATGGACTCCGACCACAATGAGTCGGAAGTGAAACACTTGGGCCCAAACTTGGCTACACCATGGCTACACGTAAAGCACGA